AATCGGCTTTTCGGCTGTTACCAATTCATCCCGTGTGGCACCACTTATTAGGCTGTTTCTTTGAGGGAAAATACTTAATTGATCTCTGTCTGCCCATTGGGTGTTCAATCTCATGTGCATACTTTGAAAAATGTTGTACCTTCCTAGAATGGGTAGTTAAGATGGAGGCGAGTACCAAGTTTGTGATCTATTATTTGGACGACTTCTTATGTGTTTGTCCCTCCGATTCCTCCAGGATATGTTTAAGAACGCTGGAATGGGTGGCTAATGTCTCCAGGGTACTTTTGGCGTGTGACAAAGCTGTAGGGCCTTCAACGTGTCTTAGTTTCTTGGGACTCAAAATCGACTCAAAAGCGAATGTCGTTTACCGGAGGACAAGTTAGTTGTTCTTCGGGAAGCTATTTCTGAGGTTCGGTGGTCTAAGAAAGTGACCTTACGCACTCTGCAGTCATTAAATAGACACTTGAATTTTGCGTGTTGGGTGATCCCCATTGATCTTGGCCAAAGCCACCAGTGGAATACGGTCACCTCATCGTTTTATCAGGGTGTTGGGACCCATGAAGGAGGACTTGGGAATTTGAGACATTTTCCTGCACAACTTTAATGAGCGGGTTTTCTTTCGGGACAAGGCAGTCTCGTCGTCCGACTTGGAATTGTTCACGGATGCATCGGGTATGGTGGGTTTTGATGCTTACTTTGTGGGCCAATGGTGTGCTGAGTGGTGGCCTTCATCTTGGTCTTCAAGCTCGCTTATTCGCAATTTGGCATTTTTTGAACTATTTCCATTGCTGGTGGCTTTGTCATTATGGGGGCCCACATTACGGGACATGAAAGTAATTTTCTTCAATGATAAAATGTCGGTGGACGCGGTAAATAACTTGTCGGCCTCTTCAGTTCCTGTGGTTCGGCTGTTACATCGCTTTGTCCTGCATTGAATGCAATTTAATATTGTTTTTCATGCACGCCATTTACCAGCCATCTTGAATGTAATCTGATTCGCTTTCTCATTTTCATTGGGCGAGATTCGGTGCGGGGGCACTGGAGGCACAGGCGGAAGGTTTACCTTGCCGGTCAAAATGTGGCAGCTCGGGACTTCATGCTTGGAGGGCTAATTCCAAGATTTTACTATTTACATGACGTAAAGTCATGATTTTATTAAAGACACAGAGGCAAGTATAAATGCAATCTCTTTCTTATTTATTCCCTCAGCAGCAAGAAAAGTTGAGAGAAAAACAAAAAAACCTTTAAATATTAACATTTAAATCTGCCTAGGAACATGGCAGCCAATAATGTCACAGTGTCCATATGAAAGGAAGGAGTCATCTGTTGCTCCTCCTCTTTCTGTCTGCGACCTTCTATAGAACTAAATAACATCCAATAACATCCAATCAGTCAATAATGAAATTATCTGTATTCACAAATATATGGCAAAACCTTATCTTTTAACTATTTGTATATCCTTGAACGATATAATCATAAATCCAAGTATTCTAAGTTAACCAAAATTCTTTATCTTACCTTAAAAGTCTAAACTTATGAAATAATTCAATCATATTGTATGTGACTTACCGTAGTTCTCGAATCGTAAATGTATAACTGTGTCCCCCTTTTGCGGGTGGGCGGGAGGGAATTATACACGCCTTCGTGTCTTTAATAAAATCATGACTTTACGTCATGTAAATAGTAAAATCTTGGAATTTTATTATAGACACAGAGGCTCGTATATATGCAATTTCAAAGCTGATCAATAATCCTTGAAGAAAAATGTTCGATAGGGCGACAATAAAAATCCCTAAACGTAGACTCATTAGACCAATCGGTCACTTTCAGGATATCCTCTAAACGACAACCTATCGTTGAAGCTTTGGAGGCCATCGCAGTGAAAAACTCGATACATCAATCCCTGTTGTAGAAAGCATCCCTTTTGCCCAGCGTGCCAATGTGGGAGATGAGACTGAAAGGTGTGGTTTCCGAAGGGAAACAAATAATGCGCCTTCCTGTGGAGACCGAAGGGGAGCAGTGTAGTCCAGATATGCCTTCAGACATAGTACTGGGCACAGATTAGGTTTGCTAGGAAATCCTGGATAGAATACTTGTTCAGTTGATGTCTTGGTTCTTCGTGAAATGTTGAATGACACTAAGTCCGATTGAAAGGTGATGGCGTTCCAGTCCAGGGCCCTGACATCTGAGACCCGTTTACATGCAATTAAACAAAGGAGGATGAGTAATTTTGCCGAAAGTTTCTGAAGTGAGAGCTCTTGATTCGTCGGCCACGTGTCCATAAAATTGAGGACTATGTTGACATCCCAGAAGGCTGAATACCTGGCCATTGGAATTCTCGACAGTCTAATCCCTTTCATGAGTCGGCAAGTCAAGGGGTGGTTTCCTGATGTATTTCCCGTAAACCCCTGATGGCCTGCTGCTATAGCCGGTTTGTGTACATTGATCGTACGATATGCTTTTCCTGCTTCAAACATAGATGTGAGGAAATGTAATATCTTACTCAGAGGAGCACATATAGGATCCACTTCCCTTGCCAGGCACCAGCTAGACCATGATCTCCATGCTGAATGGTAAGTGTTTCTAGTTCCTGGTGCCCACGCCTCTGCCAAAAGTCTCAGAGTTGACTGTGGAATGTCAGGGATGGTCCAAGGTCCCCTGAAAGGAGCCAAGCTATGAGGCGTAACAGACCTCTGTCCACTAAGTCGTGTGAGTTCCCATCCTGGTAGGTCAGCAACTCCGGCAGGTTCGGGAGCAATTGTGGGAAATCCATTGACATCTCCAGCAGTCTGGGGAACCACGCCTGTGTCCGCCATAACGGGGTAACCAATACCAAGGAACCTTTGTACCGTCTGAGATGGATCAGAGTCCGCGGTATGAGGTTGAACGGTGGGAAAGCATAATGCCTTGTCTGTGGCCACACTTCTATGAATGCATCGGCCGCTAAAGCTGCAGGGTCTGGTCTACAGCTGTAAAACCTCAGAAGTTGTGTGTTCAACCGAAAAGCAAATAGGTCGATGTCCAGTGGACCCCACGGTGCTTGCAGTTGAAGGAAAGTCTGTTTGTGCAGTTTCCAATCTCCCGAGTCCCTGAGGTATCTGGAGTTCCAATCTTCTGTGGAATTGTCCAGCCCCAGAATGTGTTCTGCAATCATGGAGATGTTGTTGCGGAGACAGAAGTGCAAAAACTCTTTGGCGAGGAGGGCCAACATCTTTGATTTCGTACCCCCCAAGTGGTTTATGTATCTCACCGCTGACACATTGTCCATTTTGAGTAGGACACAGCAAGTAATGTTGGTGGGTGTAAGGCTGTGGATGGCGAATGACCACGCCAGGAGTTCCAAGCAGTTCATGTGGAGCCATGTTTCTTGCTCCGACCATCTGCCGCCGGTAGTAATATCTCCACAGCGTACACCCCAGCCGTATGAGCTGGCATCCGACTCTATAATCAAGTCTGGTGTTGCCCCGAATATCGCTCTGCCATTCCAGGCTTCCATGTGGTCGAGCCACCAAGCTAGTTCCTCCCTGGACTCTGTGTCGAGAGTGAGTCGCGTTTCGTATGTGTGGCCAGTACAGAGATAGGAGCCCTTGAATCTCTGCAGTGCCCGGTAGTTGTACTGATAAGTCTGGAGCTCGTAAGATTCGTCTGATTTCCTTTTTTACGGTTTTGACCTTGTCTTCCGGAAGGTCTGTTGAATGGAATTGACTTGGAAGCCTAAAAATTCTATGTCTTGTGTTGGTTCTAAGATCGACTTCTCCCAGTTGATGAGGAAGCCTAAGTTCTGTAGGAGGTGCAGTGTCCATTCCAAGTGGGTAAGCAATAGGGACGGTGAGCTGGCGAGAAGAAGGATGTCTTCCAGGTATATAATGAGTCTGACCCCTCGTGATCTAAGGAATGCTATCACCGGCTTCATCACTTTGGTGAAGCACCATGGTGCCGAGGATAGGCCGAATGGAAGGCATTTGAAACGCCATCTCCTTCCTTGCCAGGTAAAATGCAATAAGTCTCTGTAGTCTTCCGCGATGGGAATTGTCAGATATGCGAGACGCAGATCTAACTTGACCATGCAGTCCGCTGGTAGAAGCAAATCTCTGAGGCAGTGAATGCCCTCCATTTTGAAGTGTCTGTACTGCAGGAACGCATTTAACTGGCGAAGATTTATCACTGGGCGTACTCCGCCCTCTTTCTTTGGCACTAGCAATAGAGTGCTTGTGAATCTCAAGTTCCACCCACCTTTACCTGGGAGGGAAGGAGTAATAAGTACACTTACCATAGGGCCGTCGTCCCGATGCAGTTCCTCTCGATATTCATTACTGCCATGGTCTTCCTCTGGATGGGAAGAACGGGGATGGCCTGTATTCCGGTATGTATCTCGGAACTTGGTGGGAACCTCTAAGGGCTCTAAATTGTCCCTGATAGCCTCGGCCGGGTGGACAGCTCCTGGATCTCCCGGCCCCTCCAAAAACCTTGGGTGCGAACACCCTCTGTAGATTGTCTTGCGCCTTGTCAATAGCCGTAAACGTTTTTACGTACGTACCTGGATCTCTTACAAATGAGTCTCCAAATAACATGCCCTTTGCAGCTGGGCCAGGCTCAGTAACTGCCATAGATACCAGCTTAGGATCCATTTTTAATAATATTGCCTTACGGCGTTCAGTCGCCATGGCCGTGTTGGCGTTACCCAACAGGCAAATCAGGCGCTGAACCCATCCTATAGCCACGTCGAAGTCCATGGCAGTTACTCACGCTTTTGCGGATTCTAATAGCTCATAGAGCTTTGATGTTGGGCCAGTCGTTTCTAAGAGCTTGTCCTGACAATTTTTAAGTGCAAACTCCAGGCCTTTCTTGGGTTTCCAGCTGTTTTTTCCCAAAAATTGGGCAATCTTGGGGTCCACTTCTGTGGTCTTACAAGCCTCATCAGGCACGATAGGATGGGGACATTCAGCTCTGAGTTTTTGACGTCCCTCCTTTGACAGGGGCGTGCGCATACGCAACACCAGTTAGTTTGCTATATGCGTGGGTGGTTCCCACTCCGCAGAACGCGTGTTGCGCAAGCCTTCCAGGTCGAACAGGGGTCTGCCCTGTGGGTCCCGTAGACCCGCCCCTGGGCCCCCCGGAGTAGCGTCCGACCCAAGCGCCGTGGAGGTCAGATCCTCCTGGGCTTTAAAATCAAAAGGTCCCTCTGCCTCGGACCCCGCCTCATCATAGGAGGCGTAGTCAGGGGTGTCGGAAATCTCTTCCTCTTCACTCTGGTCGGAGTCCGACCAATCTTCCAGGGCACATGCCCGCTTCCAAGATCTGACCGCTTTTGCCCGGCCAGAGGCTCTTTTGCGCGGCTGTAACACGCCATCAGTGATCGCCAAGGGCGGATCAGTCACAATAGGCATAGCCTTATCAGTGGAGTGGGACCTGAGGTGCTTAGTTTTATTTAGTTTTTTTTGTAATTCTTTATTTTCATTTGGCAGAGTTGACAAGCACATGAGTATCGTACAAGGATAGTACATGCATGGGCTTATGCAAAAGCCACAATTCAAACAATTCGTCAGTACATCATGATACAAAAGGGTTTATAGCGAACGAGATGATGTTAGGTGATGCGTTTACAGATTTTTGGTATGCAGTTGTGTTCTACCAAGTTTTTATACATTAAAACAATTAAACAGTTAAATAAAGGTAAACAAGTTTGGATGCGACTGTAAGTAGCAATGGTATCACAAAAGGTTCAGAAATTGAGGATTAAAAAGATAAATAAAAATGGGAAAATGTAATTATATTAAATTGTAGGTAACATTAGGGATGAAGTGTGGTGGAGAGGCTCCATAGGTTGGAGTCTTCCCTGGGGTTGCGGGGGGAGGGTGAGGGATTGTATAGGCGTTCCTGACCCTTGTGGGGTTTGGCCTCTTGGTGTTGTGTGTGTATCCACTCTTCTGTCGTGGTTTTGGTTAAGTTGTGTGGTTATGTGTCATTCGACTTGGTTGGTTGCCTATTTGATCACTCTGTTGTCGATTCTATCCTTCCATTGTGGTGTGCTGTAGGGGTTGGGTTCATGTTAGGGTTTTGTAGGGGGAGGGTGGCTTTAGGTTGGTTTGTGAGTTGTGGCGTTCGGCCTTGATTCCCTTGGGGACCTAGTTTCTTAAGTGGCTGTGGCGGGTTCCATAAGCCATATGTCCCATATTTTGTTGCAATGTGTGGTAGTGTCGTGAATGAGTGCTGATAAGCTATCCATCAACCTAGCTTCATTCATTTTTTTCTTGATGTCGGTAATTGATGGGACTGTGGGTGAGCCCCAGTGGGCGGCTATAGCTCTTCTAGTGGCTAAGGCTAGTTTGGCTAGTAGTTTGTTATGAGCTCGTGGAGTGTTTTCTAGCGGTTTGGATAGTAGCCATAGCCATGGATCCCTTGGAATGGGGTTGTGGAAGACTCTGGAGGCCAGGGTCACTATGTCTGTCCAGATTTGTGTTATGTGTGGGCATTCCCACCATAGGTGGTAGTATGTCCCTTTTTGGCCGCACCCTTTCCAGCATCTATCTGAAGTGGAAAGTCCCATTTGCTTGAGTTTTAGCGGGGTGATGTACCAGCGCATGAGGGTTTTGTATGCCTGTTCTTTGTGGGTTACGCATATCGTCACTGTTGCTGTGGCTTCCCAAATTTCTGTCCAATCTGTGGGGTCGGTTGGAGGTCCTAAGTCTCTTTCCCATGCCGCAACGTACCCTAACGATTGGGTTTTTGTTGCCCTGAGTAGTTGTGTGTATGTTGCAGAAATCTGGCTTTTTTGTATGGGGGCATGGATACACAATTTTTCAAAGGTGGTGGGAGGGGTGAGTCCGGCTTGTTTATATGTGGGAGTTTCCAGTAGGTTTCTGATTTGTAGATATCGGAAGAAGTCATGTGTGGTAAGTGGTCTGGTTTGTGGTAAGTCCTTGAACGCTATGATTTTTTGGTTCTGGAAGAATTGGTATGTCCTGATTAAGTCATTGTCTTCATAGTGCGCAAAGTCTTTTGGGGTCATGCCTGGTGTAAAGTGTTCGTTTCTTAAGATTGGTGTCAAGGGTGAGGGGTTTGATGTGAGTGCGTGTTTTATGGAGAGTTTGTTCCAGAGGGTTATAGAGGTATCGAGTGCTGGTGTGGTTCGTGGGAGTTGTGGTCGTGCTCCCTTTGGTACCCAGATATATAGGGAAGGGAAATCCTGACCAAACAAGTCATGTTCAAGGTCTGCCCATCTCTTCAACCCAATGGGGGCATGGAGTGCCTGGATTTGTGCCAGTTGTGCTGCGTGGAAGTAGTGAAGAAAGTGGGGGAGGCCGAGACCTCCTGATCTTGTCGGGAGGTAGAGGATATCTCTCCTAATCCTTGCTCGCCTGTTGGCCCAAATGAAGCGATCAATTTGTGTTTGTAGTAGTTTAAAGTCTTTGGTAGTTATTTGGACTGGTAGTGTTTGGTATAGATATAAAAATCTCAGTAAGAGGTTCATTTTTATACATGCCACCCTTCCTAGCCAGGAGATGGAGTGGGATTCCCAAATTTTAAGGTCGGCCTTCGCTCTTTGTAGTAGGGGGGCGTAGTTGAGTCAGTATGTCTGGGATACGTCTACTGGTAGGTCTACACCTAAATAGTGTATGTGCGTGGGGTTGAAGTGGAATGGGTAGTTAGTTTTTAGTGTATCGAGGTCCTCTTGAGGGATTTGTATTGGCAGTGCTTCTGTTTTATCCAGGTTGAGGCGGTAGCCTGAAACCTGTGAGTAATCGTTTATGGTGTGCAGTAGTGGTGGGAGCGAGTTAGTTGGGTCTGTAATGGTGAGGAGTAGGTCTTCTGCATATCCCACCACTTTATATTCCTCCTTTCTAATGTGTACGCCCGCTATCAATGGGTCCATGCGCAGGGCTTGTAGTAGGGGTTCCAGTGAGAGGGCAAATAGGAGCGGGGAGAGGGGACAGCCCTGTCTTGTTCCGTTAAAGATGCGGAATGATGGGGGTTGGGTGTTCGGAATTAAGAGGTTCGCCTCTGGTGCTGAGTATAGAGTTCTGAGTGCGTTAAGGATTGGGTCGGGGAACTGGAATTTGTGCAGGGTAGCGAAGAGAAAAGGCCATAGTAGTCGGTCAAATGCCTTTTCAGCGTCCAGGGATAGGAAAAGGGTGGGAATACGTCGGTGTGAGGTCACCCATAGAAGGTCGAACGTCCGTCTAGTGTTATCATATGCCTGTCTGGAGGGTATAAAGCCGACTTGGTCTGGGTGTATGAGTTTATGTACGTGGGGGTTTATTCTGTCTGCGAGTAGCTTAGTGAGTAGTTTTATGTCTACATTCAACAGTGAGATCGGTCTATAATGGCTCGGATCTAAGTGGGTTTTATTTGGCTTGGGGAGAAGGCAAACATTCGCTCTCAGTATGTCGGGAGGTATGGGGTTTCCCTGCAGTATGGAATTGAACAGATTGCAGAGGTGTGGGAGGAGTGCGGCTGGGAACGTCTTGTAGTAGAGTCCTGTGAAGCCGTCTGGTCCTGGACTCTTGTTGGGTTTGGTGTTTATGATGGCTTTGGCGATTTCTTCGATGGTGATTGGTTCGCTAATTTTGGAGATGGCTTCTGTCTTTAGGGCCGGTATGGGTATCTGCCGTAGGTATGTGTCTATTGTTTGCCTGGTTTCTTCGGGATGTTGACGTAGGTTGGGGCTATGGTCGTATAGTGTGGAAAAGTACTTTTGGAAGACCTCACCGATTTTTGTCGGAGTGGAGTGTTTGGTGCCGTCCGGTGTTTGAATTACGTCTATTCGTTTATGATCAGTCCTACGCTGTAATTTTCGGGCTAGTAAGGTGTCAGCTTTGTTGGATTTTTCATAGTAGGTCTGTTTTGTCCATTGTATGGCTTTGGCCGCGTCTTTAGTCATGAAGTCTTTAATTTTGGTTCGGCATTCTGTTATTTCTTTGAGGATGTCTTGTGTGGGGTTTCGTTTATGGCTTGTTTCTAGGGTCCTAAGGTTTGTGAGGGATTTTGCTAGGTCGGCTAGTTGGGTTCTCTTTTGGTGTGACGCGAGGCTTATGATTTTGCCTCTTATGACTGCCTTATGGGCTGCCCATAGTATGCCCGGTGAGGGTGCCGAGGGCATGTTTAGTGAGAAGTAGTTTGTTAGTTCTGTTCGTATTGCTTCCGTTGTCTGTGGGTTATGTAATAGTATGGGTTTAATTTCCAGGACCATGGTCTGGCTATGTCGGGGACCTTAATTGTTATTGTGATGTCTGCGTGGTCTGACCATGTAATGTTGCCTATGTTGGCAGTTTGGATCATATGTGTGAGGCAGGGTGAGATCAGAAAGAGGTCGATGCGGGAGTACGAGTTGTGTGGGTGGGAATAAAATGTGTAGTCCCTGGTGGTCGGGTGGAGCAGTCGCCAGATGTCTACCAGTCTCTGTCGCAGCACGAAGTCTTGTAAAAGTTTGTCTATTTTGGATATGGGGTTTGGGGGTTTTCTTGTTCTGTGTCTGTCAATTGATGGCGACATCGTGGCATTGCAGTCTCCGCCTATTATTTTGAGGTGGCCTGGGGTTAGGGCTAGGTGGGTTTGAAAAGTGTCCCAGAACATTTTGTCTGGGGTGTTCGGGGCGTATAGTGAGGTGATAGCGTATAGGTTGTGCCCTGCCTGTCCCGTGAGTGTGATGAACCTGCCTTGTGGGTCTTTTATAACTGGTGCTGAGTGGGCACGTTTTCCGCATTAGGATAGCTACTCCGTTTTGTTTAGTTGTGGGTGAGTTTGCCATATGGCATTCCCGGTAGTGTCGATTAGTTAGGGGGAAGGGTTTGGTCTGTGTAAAATGGGTTTCTTGCAGCAGAATTATGTCCGCGTTTGAGCGGTTTGCCCATCTCATCAGTTGATGTCTTTTTGCCAGGTTGTTGAGGCCCTTGCAGTTGATGGAGATGCATGTCAGTTTGGTGCTCATAGTGACTGGTCGTGTTTTTGGTTAGGTCTACTCCCGGGCGCCGGCGGTGTTTAGTGGCCAAGTGTCTTGTTATGCGTATTGTGGTGTTGGGGATGGGGAGGTTTTGGGTAGGCCTGGGGTAGAAGGGTTAGTTGTGTGCTTGTTCGTTGGTGGTCTGTCTCGTGCCAGGGAAGCTGGGCTCTTGGATATAGGGGGTCAGGGGTTCGCCTTTTAGATGAGGTAGGGGGGGAGGGAAGGGGGGATGGTTTCCGGTTTGGGTTTATTCCCCTGGTCTTATACCTAGGTTGCCAGGCTCGGTGGGGGCGGAGGTTGAGGGGGTGTAGGTACCCGCGGTTGAGTGTGGTCCTTTTTCTTATCCCTCTTGAGGGTACTGGTGTCCTGGTGATGGGGAGCACCAGTGGTTCCCTAGTGGGGGGGGGTTGTTGTGATGAGGACGTATGTGGTGGGTTGGAGCTGTCT